AGAGCTCCGCATCCGGCAAGCCATCAATATCCTCCTGCTTCTCGTATTTTATCAAGCGCTTCCTCAGCTCAGCCCGCCAAGGGTTGGACTTCTGAAACCTCAGCCCTTGCTGGTTCTCCTTCCCTGAACCACCTTTGCCATCAGGATCTTTTCGGTTGTCTCCTTGCGTTTTTCTCACCCCTGCACTTTGGAAGGACATGGCCGAGGTTTTCCCTTTCTTCCCCCCCAGCATGTACCCTGGGAACGCCTGCTTTTGCAGCTCAAAATTCTGGGTCAGGATCTGCTCCAGCTCTGACAGCGGCTTTCTGGCTGCATCCCCACCGGCGATCACTCGCAAGGGGGGGGTCAGCCCCACCACTAGTGGCTCCTTGAATTCAGGCCTGTCAAAATCAAGGGGGGTGTCCTTTGAGCCAGGCAACCCAGCCATCTGATAGAGCATCTTCTTACGGTTAACGTAAGCATCTGGACGCTCCTCAGGGTTTTGCTTCTCCTGGTGGAAGAGCACTAAGGGGTTGACCTCTGGGAAGAACACCTTAAGCACGGCCAGCTGGACATCCCCGATGTCCTGGACATTGCCCATCTGCACATCCCCTGGTAATGCCGCAAAATCGTCTGGTTTCATGCACTTTCTCACCACGTCTATCAGGTCAGCCACTGAGTTGCCACTCTGGCACCTGGGCAGCCTCTGGGCCCTGGACAGCCAGTTGACCGCTGTCTCCTTCGTCAATGGCCCCAGCATCTTCCCCACTGTCTTGAGCTGCTCAGGGGTAAACCAGAGCACAGCCCTGTTGGTGTCTATGACCTGGAGTGGGCCGTGGCCAGATGACTCCTCAGGGGGGCTCTTTTTACTTTTAGAAGCCTCCACCTCCCCCCCTTGCAGCTGGCACATCTCCTCCCGCAGAGGAGCGTAAGGGGATGGCCTGGTGGGGCCATTGGCACCCCAGACATCATCCTCATAGTCATAGTGGGCTGGATGTGGGTCCGAGGAGTCCTCCCCCTCACCATTCCCAAACCGGTTCCTTTTGCCTTGGATGGCAGCCACGATACCCCTCGACACCCCCAGCTCTGCCTGCAGCTCCTGGATCTTGGCGTGGCATACCTTGTGATCAGGGCCAGTGCCCCGGTCCCGCTGGACGTCCTGCAGGACTGCCCGCACCGCGCTCTGCGCATCGTGGGTCTCCCCGATCCACTTGCCAACCTCCTTCTCCAGCTCCTCCGTTTTCAGCTTCTCATAGCCCAGCTTGCTCTCCAGCCGGGTGATCTCCACTGCGCTACGCAGAGAGTCCCCGCACAAACCCTGCACCTCTGCCCGCAGGTTGTCCACCTGCATTTTGAGCTCGCCCTTGGCCTGCTCCAGTTTCTGCACATTCTCAAGAGCCTCCTTCAGCAATTTGGACAACTCTCTGCCCACCATCAACAATCCCTGCAAAGCCGCTCGCTTCTTGCACTTATTTGTGGGTTTCGGCTTTTTAGTCTCCTCCGACCAGCTCTCCCACTGCTGGCACAGCTGCTGGTATGCCTCCGGGCCCTGGAAGGACCCCGGGGACCAAACCGGGGGGAGACATTTCTGGAGCACAAACTGCTCCAGCTTCCAGTTGCTAACGATATCGCTCATCATAGTGAGGGGAACGAGATCTGAGACGGCTCCGTCTCAGGGCAAAGCTACCATAACACCAGCACCACCGACCCACCCACAGAGGCAGGCTGCAACCCTGCGACCTGCCTGTACGACAAGCCCCGCCCAGGGGACGACAC